AGAGGCTCTGCCACCCTATGCTAAGACTCTGAACGGCCCTGGCTCAGCTCTGGTTCTCTCATCCTCGAAACCTGCCAATAAATCCCTTCTCGGTCTCCATAAGGCAGAACCCCAGCTGATGGAAACCGCTCCCGATGGCTTCACAGTGTGAACCTGCCGGGACAAGCCACCCAGCTTGTCCACCAGGGGCCACTGCTACAGCCAGCCCAGAAGGAAGACCGAGGAACTCTGGCCATTGCTGTGGAAGCAGTGGCAAGTTCACAGTCACTATTAACATGGTTTGAGGGCTGAGGGGCAAGGCCTTCTTAGAGAAGACACCACCGTCCCAAATGGATCATGGTCCCAGATGCATGAAGGAGGCGCTCTGGGCATTGACCTTGTCCTCCCTGGGTCTCTGGCTCACCTGGTGAGGAGAGGGGTTCCGCTTGTTGGGATAGGAGTGAGGAGCTAAGGAAGTGGTGGGGGAGGGTCCTGAAACTCCTGCAGCCTGCCTCTGCCTGGGGAGCTTTGGTGGGGGAGGTAGAGGCAGGCTAACAGCAGAGCGGGTCCCCTTTCGCTCAGGTACACTCCCAATCCAACTCAGCCTTTTACCTCTGTAGCTGGGAATGGTGCTGTTCCGGAGATTGTCACCTCTCCCAGTTTTGCCAGGACTCGGGGAGACGAGAGCCCTGGGGTCCTCAGCAAGTCCTTAAATATGTTATAGGGCCTTACCTGCAAAGTGGGTGCAATTCTGTTTCCAGCAGTCCCCTCAAGGGGAGATGGGACAGGGATGAGCACCAGATGCAGAAAGGGACAGAACAGCTGCTGGGCCTTTGCTCAATCTTGATCGCATCGTCCAGAAGGCTCTCCCACTCCTCTTCTGCCTGCTCCAACTTTGGTCAGGGCTTTAGAGTGCATGGCAAACCAGGGTTCGGATCTTGGCTCTGCCACTGACAGACTCTAGGGCCTTGGACAAGCATCTTGCTGTCCCCAAATCTCAGTTTGCCTAGCTGTGAAGTGGGCATCCTAACAGGGTGGCTCTAGGGGGCGTGAGCACAGTATGTGCTCAGGCATCTCTCTTGGATTAGTTCTACCTCTTCTGCCAGCCTCACAGTGAGCACTGTAGGGCAGGGAGGTGTCCCCATTCTTCCCAGCTGTGCCTCCAGCACCTGGCGCAGCCTGTGTGTCTATTTTCGGATGAACAGAGGCAAGCCCGAACTCCCTGGCAATCTGGCTACCTGGGCTGGCTCCTGGCTGGGACACCCGCCAACTGCCGAGTCCAACGGGCATCATCTGTCATGGTGACAAGGCCACCCGGGCTGCAGGGCAGGCCCTCACTGCCCCACACAGGTGACGCTCACTCCCTGGCACAGAGTCCCTGGGTGGGACACAAGCAGGTTGGGGAGAAGGTCACGGAGCCTGATGTTTGGTACAGGTGCCCAGAGCAGGCCATGTACCAAGAGGACAAAGCGTCACTGTCATGCGCCAACCCCCCAACCGGCTCTCTTTGCCTTCAAATTTAGGCTCCCCTACCCCCCCTTGGGGACCCCTCTCCCACAGCCCCCTCGGTCTCTGCTTGCACCCAACGACTTCTAACCCTCCCCAGCTCTCCCACACTAACACTCCCCACCACACGGGTTGTCCTGCACAGATTATTCCCTGCGGCAGCAAAGCTAGTGGTTGAAGGGGGCTCTGTCGTCACAGGGACCCAGGGCCGAAGCCTACCTCTGGTGCTTTCTAGCTGTGTGGTCTCATGCAAGTGAATCCACCTCTCTGAACCTCCACATCTGCATCCGCAGAATGGACTGGTTCTACTCCGGTGCCCAGGGTCCCAGGGTGGAGAATGTGAAGAACTTGCACAGAAGGCCGAGCGCAGGGCTTTGCTCGTGGCGAAGGTCCGGGGGACGACCACTGGTTGTGGTAGGATGCCCCCGTTCCTGCCCTCAGTGAGACGGGATGTGACTCCCACTGCTCACCACTTCACCTTTGGTCGGGCTGCTTCCTCCGTCCCAACTGCCTCCCTTCCTGTCTCCAAAGGGTAAACCCTCTTTCCAGGTGAAGATGAAGGAACGCATCCTTTATGGCCCCCTTCTCCCTAAACACAGATGACCCCTCTTTTGACTCAGAAGCACTACTTGTCCCATTACCACGGAGACGCATTTTAGGGTGTGACTCAGGCTCGTTTTTTCAGGTGACAGCAAGGCTGGGAGAGGTGGTCAGAGCTCCCGCAGCCGGTGAGAGGCGGGGCTGGGCTTGACACCAGGGTCTGTGTGACCCCACCGCCCCGAGCTGTCTGTGAGGTCATCAGGAGGGTTACTAGTATTGGAGGCGATTGTACTGATGAGGAAAGAAGGTTCAGGGAGTTGGAAACTTGTCCAGAGTCACTCAGCTGATGCAAACCAGTTTTTGATGCCAAGTTCAGGGTCTTACCCCACCTGTCTCAATGCCGGGCCGTGGCGGACTCCTGAGTCAGGAATGCAGGACCTTGGGCACCCCAGACCTGCTGAATCAGGATCTCCCTGGTGCCTCGTGGGAGTGTGGATGTTTGGGAAGCTCGGGTTTTGATTTCCTCTGCAGGCTTCTTTGCGGTCAGAGCAGCGGGTCACATCACAGCGGGTGAGGTTTTTCCTGCCATCACTGGGTGCTCTGTCTGGCTCTCTTGGTGTAAGGTCTGGAAAATGACACAGATCCCATCCTGGTCTACCCAAGTCTCTGAGTCTCCCTATGGCTCAGAGGCCACCTAACTGCCACGGGCTGGGAAAACCGTGAGGGGAATGTGGCTGCTGGTCCCAGGCCGGGGGAGAGGCTGGGCCGAAGTGTGTGGTGGAAGCTCAGGACATGGTGAGGGCTCAGGTAAAGGAGCCAAAAACCCGGCGCTGAGGGTGAAGTCCAGAAGAAGCCCCTCGGGATGTCCTGCTAACACCTCTGGAGGCCTCCTTGCAAGGAGTCTGAAACACAAAGATAATTCCAGAGAGAACGTCAGTTAGGTCTCTGGAATAAAATAATGGTGACAGTTACACTGACCGCAAATCACCGACTGTCCTCAGAGGGCCTGGCACAGGTGGGAAGGTCATTGCATGGTGGGAAGTATGGCCCAGAGACGCCAGGGGCCTTGTCCCGGGCCTTGTAGTGAGCGGCAGAGCTGGGACGCGAACCCAGTTCCCGAGGCTCCAAACCTGCTCTGTCCAGTGCCCTCAGAGCCCCAAGGGCTCAGGCTCCAGAGTCAGTGGCGATGCAAGGCGGGCTTGTAAAAAATGTTAGCTCTCATGATGATTATAATGAGCAAGCGACTTCATCTTGACCCTGAAGACCGCCTGGCGTCCGGGAGCGTGAGTGTGTGTGAGTGAGGTGGCTGGAGGCCACGCCAGCTGGGAACGCCTCGGCCTATTCCCCGCAGGCAGCGTGGAGGAGGGAGCGGGCCTTCCCGCCATTCTGCAGAAGTTCCCTGGGAGACCGCGGCCGATTTCTCACCGCCCTGCTGTGACTGTCGGTGGCTGCAGAAGCTACCGGAAGTTGGGCTAGGGCCTGATGGACAGGCCACGGGCAGCTCCGTTTTCTTCTAGTGCAGGGTGAGCAAGTGTAGGAAGAGGACTAACATCGGATGCTGACTTGGTGCCAGGAACTGAGGGGGGTGCAGGTCACATGCTGCTCCATGTAATCCCCGTGCCCCTGAAGTGGGCACCGAGATTCTCAGGAGGCACAGGCCGATCCTGGCCCCCAACCAGGAAGGGAGGGTTCACATGCGTCTCTGTGGTCCTGAGCCCTCGCTCGGCTTCTTGAAAAAGTGCACCGAACGAACCACAGTTCAGTTCTTCAGCGGCTCATCGACCTACGAAGTTTCCAGGAAGGAGGTCTGAGGCCTAAGGGAGGCCTGGATCTCCAGATGAACCAACCTTAGAGATAACTGGTCTGTCCATAAGCCCGCCACACACTTTTAGCAGCGCGACCTCTGCTAAGTCAACAGGACAAAGACCGGCAGATGGCTTTGCTGCAGTCCCAAACACGGTGGAGTGTTTCTCAAACTGTGTTCCACCTCAATATTCTTAGGCACTTGCAAGTTCTGACTGTGTACTAAAATTGTCTTCATTTAAATAAATTTTTAAAAAACCCACTTGTTTTTCCTAGTCATAAGAACTTTCTCTTTGCCGTGGTAACTTGTAAAGGCCAAAATGTCACAGAACGAGGCTTTGGATTTTTAGGTGGGAGTGTCTCACACGCTGCCGGCGTATCTGGGGAAGTTGGTTCTTTTCCTTTGCCGGTATGAATGCTCCGTGTGAGAAAACCCAGCACACACAAACTCCTCTTGGGTGCCCAGGCATTCTATTATAAAAGGGCCATCAGGCTTTCAGGACTTCTTTTCTGAGTCCCTGGATTTCAACGGGCCAGCCTCCTGCTCCGACCCTCTGGGGGCTCCAGGCTGGAGGCGGCGGCAAGAGCTCCCAGGAGGCCACAGCCACCGCAGATGAGGGCAAAAGCCACCTAAGGTGGAGCTGGAAAAACGGGCCGGTTTGAGATGGGTTTTCTGCTGAGCGTAAATGTGGGCTGAACAGAATGACACAGGGTTGTGTGTCCTGCAAGTACGATCCTCAGGGACCAAAACCGCATAGACCCCGTTGTAGCTGTAAAATTTGCCTTCATATGTTTGTGAGAGTTATGTGGATGGTTTTCAATGAACACACATCTGTTGTATCCGTTACTGTATAAAACACGTCATCTGGAGTGATGGCTGCCTCTGGAAAAGTGGGTGAGAGGGACAACGGCCTGGGTGGTGCTGGAGGTGACCTGAGCTTTATGTGAAATGTGCTACCTCTCAAAACAGAACTGGAAGCGAATAGAACATTGTCAACCGCTACTAACTCTGCTTCGCCGCTAAGACTTGAGTGTCTGTTGTATTTTCCTCTGAATCGTCTTTCCACTGCGGGAGCCTATGTGCCCTTTAAGCTCCAGGCGCCCCCTCGTGAGCTCCCCAGGCATGTGGTCCTAAGGCGCTCCTTCTTCAGATAAAAAGCAGAACACAGACATCATGTGCTGAAGTATAAATTTAATAAAGCCTCTGATCACGTTTTAATCCCTAGGTTATCTATGAAACCAACCCCCCCCCCAACTTTTTAGAGCCATCAAGAGCCATCGAGGTGTCAATGAACACGAGCCATAAAAGTACAGATGCAGTGTTTTTGACAGTGTGGTATCTCCAGCTGTTGAAGAGAACAATTTAAATGAAATTACAAACCACCCCTCCTCGTCAAAAGAACAGATAAAGTTGGTGTCGGTGCTCAGAAACCACTCTCTCCCCAGCCCCCCGCTGGCGGATTCTTGGGTAATCCAAGTCAAGATGGAATCAAACGTCTCTGTGCAGGCTGATCGTCCTTTGGGCCCCAGCATAAACGTACAAACCTACTCCGCGTACACGCGCGTTCTGAGGAGGTCTTCAAAGGAGTCGAGTATTTAAAGTGGCAAATCCACAGAATCAGAGGTTACTAACAAATCTTAAATAATAATAACAACAAATTCCTGCCTTTAAATTCCTTGCCATCTTTCCATCAAAGTAAAACACAAACTCTATTTTCCAGAAGCCCAGGGGCTCTAAGGGAGCCAGGCTTGGGCCCGGGCAGGACATGGCACCCAGCCGCAACCCTTTGAGGGGGGCCATGGAGATAGATCTTGCCCGCTTTGCCGCCAACATGAAGGTTTTTGCCAGAAGGTGCTTTGCTGCTTGGTAGAAAGCTGCAAGCCCCCAGCGAGCTCCACAGAGCAGAGGAGGGACCAGGCACTCCTGGCTTCAATCTTGGTGGTGGGGATGCATAAGGAGCTTGACGAGGGGGGCGAGGGTGGATGGCTGTCAACACAGACCATGGACATGGCCTTTGTCTCAATTCCCTGGATCTAGAATAAAGTTCTCATGATAAGGGGCAAGAATGAGGGCAGAGGAGCACAATGGGTTGGAAGAGAAAACGAAGTAAAAAAACCAAAAACCAAAAAACCCAACCCAGAGTTCTCTCAGCCCTCTGAGCGTCCATCAGTGCGAAGGGCTCCCGGTTCCCCGTGCTGAGGAAAAATGAGCGGCAAGACCCAAGTTTCTTGGGATTTTACCATCAATGGGGGGAGGCCACCGCCCCAACAGGCTGGGAAACTCGGCTAGTGTTTGTTCCTTACTAGACAAAAGCAGGGCAAACAAGCAGAGGGAAGGCAGCTACCCCCTAATCAGCAGGCCTTGGGGAACAGCCAGCGCCCTCTGGAAACGGAGCTGCTCTTAAGGGCCAACAGGTATTTTTTCTCCCCAAGCCAGGATGCCAATGTGAACGCACGAGACAGGATCAAGCCTGTGGGGGCCTCCTGGCAGCTTGGCCTGAGGACTCAGAGCATCTGAGGCGAGCCTGGGGGTGGGGCACGGCCGCCGCATGGAATGCGTGGTTTCAAGGTGGGGGCAGTGCCCGAATGTCCTGGGCTCCGCAGCCTTCCTGGCAGGCACCTCTGCTTCCCTGGGGAGCAGGTGGGCCTGACTGTCTGCAGAGAGGCCGCGTGTGGACGGGACGGAGGCAGAGACTTTGTCGAGTGCATAGAGGCTTGGCAAGGCCTTACCTGAGAAGAGAGTTTTCAGAAACAGAAGGAGAGCGTCTCACCCGTAGTAGGCTTTGTGCACTCGGGACCATATCGTGAAAACCGCTCTGGACCCTTGGAGTTCCTGGGACTTGTTCATGCACAGCTCACTCACAAGGTTAAGGAAAAAAAAGACTCACCAAAAAACCAAACTATCAAAAGGAGAAGGCCCTCTGTGATCACAGGCCTGGGCTTCAGACCCCGGAAAGTAGGAGAAAAGGATCAGCGCGGGCGGAACCTGGAGGTTTATTCTCAACACCCTTCCCATCAGTGTCACCTGGAGAATGCTACGGAGTCGTCATGTGCGTCCCAAGTAGTTGAGGCCACAGGGGAGTCTCATGGCTATAAAGAGTGAGAGGTCACCTGGCTTGTTGGTCATCCACTCCCAGGGTGACCCCGCCCCCTGGAGCTGAAGGCCCCTGGCAGCCCAGGAGTCGGCCAGGGCAGGTGGCGGGAGCGGGGAACTAGGAGAGCTCGAAGCCCGTGTTCATGCTGACGGCGTAGCGCAGCTTCTCCCGGAGGACGCTCTTCTTGCTGTAGTTAGGCAGCTTGAGCAGGTTGAAGCAGGTGGAGGAGGTGGGCAGACGGCCGCCCGGCTCCCGCTTGCGGATGGTGAAGAAGCCCCGGAGCACGCTGCCCAGGGTGTCCCCGGTGTCCTGCAAGCACACACCACAGCCCTGGTTGGGAGGCACCTGGCGAGGGAGACTCGGCGGGTGCCAGAGTGGGTGACGCAGGAGGGGACCTGGCTAGCCTCGGGGCCGAGCAGAATGGCCGGTGAAGAGCGCACTGCTGCCCGAGGCTGCCCCCGAACGGAGGCCCCCCGCCCCGACTGCTGAGCACACAGCAGCAGCCCTGGCAGCTCCACGGGGGACCCCTGTGTTAGGTAAGCACTCAGAAAGGGGGCTTTCGGGTTAACTGCCAGTTATTGCTCAACCAATTTTCAAAGAGCCAGACTACTGTAAACATACTTCAGGTACAAAAACACGTCTAAATGCAGGCTCCCATTTCCTCCCACCAGCGCGTGGCCCATGGCAGACTGTAATGTGGGGCAACCTTCCTTAAGTAAGGGGACTGAGGGTTGTCTAGTGTCACATGAGGGACGCGGAGGCCAGACTGCAGCATCCAGAGAGGCAGCTATGCTCAGAGGCCGCTGGGTTTTTGCAGGCAGGGGAGAGGGGCTGAGACACTGAACAATGGCTACCACTGGAGCACCCCTTCCATGGAGCATAACCCCGGAGGCATCTGTTCCCCCTTACAGAAGAGGAAATGAAGCGGCCTGCCAGACGTGAAGGGCCAGCACACAAGCCCTCACCTGCCCCATTCCTAAGCCGGTGTCCTAAGCCCCCTCCCACACTGCCTCTCAGACCTGGAGCCCCGGCCAGGCCACCAGCTACTAAAACCACCCCCAGGTACTCTTTCCTGAGGGAGTAAAGAGAAAGGGACCTCCGAGAGAGCTGAGGCCCCAGAGCAGCCCGAGTCCAAGGGCATCCTCTGGGGGCCCGACTGCTCTCCTGGCTGGAGAGCTGTGGAACCTTCGCCCCTGGCTCCCAGGAGCTGCACTGCCTGCCCCGCGGACACAGACCGGGTGAAGGTTCTACCCAGTGGGCACAGCAAACCACCACCAAGAGCAGCTGACTCTTCCCCCAGCAGTGGTACCTGATCATCTGACACTTCGACACAGCGGATGGAGAAGGGAGGCTTGAGGTAGGCGAATCCCAGGAGCGGGGGCCTGGAGCAGCTGGTCACAAACTGCAACACAAGGCAGGTCGAGGGGCCAGACTGGGGCTCTTGCTCCCTCAGCAACAGGCCCCTGGCAGGCGAGCTGCATGTTTTTCGCTTTCTCCAGTCATGGTATGACAGGAGGGTGACCACAGACCATGCATTCAGCCCAAGAACTTGTATACGTCTCACGTCTCAAGGGTGTTGTTCTTGAAGGTTAAAACACACGAAAGCCACACCAGCGGATGTGACCAGTCATTTGTGTGTGCCAGCCCAGGGGCTGGTGGAGAATGTGCAGCTGAAGAGTTCAGGAACAACACAAACTACCCCCCACGGGACCGATCTCAGTGGGACTGGCACGCGGGCCCTTGCTTCGAGAGACGCCATGCATGGGACCACTGGGCAGAGGGAGACGGTGGTGCCCCCAACACGTGGCACAGGAGAGAGGGCCCCACACCCCTGGCACCTGGCTTCCTGCTCGGCTTCCTAGCCAGCCAGGGGGAGGTGTGCAGGTGCGTTCCCCCAAGCACCCTGGACTGCTGTGTCACAGAGCAGTCTCACAGAGTGAGCTCGGCTCCTGGGGGCCCCTCCCTGACAGACGAATCTGCCCTCAGCATGCAGACAACAATCAGGCATCCGGCGCCAGCAAGGCTGAGGGGCACACCAATGCGCCAGACACCCGGAATGGGGCCCACGGGCAGCCACCCATGCTCCCTTGCTACACTCCTGGGATTCCTTGCCTCTCCCAGATGGCAGCACCTGGGTTATTTCATCATATGTGCTAGCTTGTGTCTGCACAGAGGAATCGGACTGACTTAGAAATCCAAGTGATAAACTTGCAGAGGGAAGTCTGAAGAAACCATTCGCTTTTTAGAACTGAACATCAGCTACAAACGCTCTTCCTTCTCCAGGGGATGTACGGGCCTGCTACTTACAGCACCCAGCTGTGCTTCAAAATTCCACAGCAAGCTGAGTGTTTGGGTCTTAATATAATAAATGTTACCAATGAAACAGTGTTCTAAATGGCATCCAAAGAGTTTTTGTGTGGCAGGTTTCAAAAACCGTTTTTACACCCAGTATCGATGTTACTATCCAGTATGGTTTATTTTCCACCAGCCGAAGCACAGCAGCAGCTCCTACTAAGAAAGCAGGGCCGAGCACTGTGCTGAGCGCTCTGGGACCCGGCCTCACCTCATCACTCCTCGGAAGCTGTGTGATTCGCTCCGTTTTAAGGATGAGGAGACAGACCCAGAAGAGCCTGTGCCTGTCCCAATTCAGGCCGCTCAGACCTACTATGTGCCGCAAGCCGGGGCTGGTCTATGGAGGGGGCGGTGCTTTCATCCCCCTGGGATGGGAGGCCGAGGGGCAGAGGGCACAGGAAGCTGCCATCTGCTCGTGTTACAGCTAAAGCAAGCACAGTCAGGTGCACTCCATACGAGGGCTGTGTCTTCCACCCGACCTGGGGCCTGTCTGCAGGAACTGCAGGTCTGGAGACCGGCTATCCAGAGACACAAACACACCCGCTGTGTGGGACAGACTGCACACAGTTAGGAGACATGGGCTCTCTCCTCTTTCCAGGAGAGGCAGGGGAGCGGTTTTATAGTCCATCAGGGAGTGTTTGGCCTATAAGAGGTGCTGCTGGAAAATCAGAATTGATTCTCTTAAGAATTTCTGGAATTATGTCTACCTGCCTACCCCAAGCCCTTTGTAACCTGTAGGGATGACCTGGGCATTTCTGCATCTAGGAGTGGTGGCCTCCTTGATGGGAATGAACTCTCCTCAGAATGACAAACCAAGGAGAAAGAAAACCCGCTGCCATTTCAACTAGTGGTGATACTGTTCATGTTGCCTCAACCACCAAGGTCACTGGAAACCATTCTAGAAACCCAAATGTCCAAAGGAAAATATTTCAAGGTACTTAAATCTACCCCCAGAATATGGCAACGTGTTCAGGATAAAATATCAAATAGCAGAGCGGGTGGCAAAGTGAGGATTCCATCTTTATAAAAATACACAAGCATGTAACAAATACACAGACAAGTGTGTATGTCATCCAGGGTCCTATAAAAGGCTTTGCCGACGTCAGTAACAGGAAACAACACGGTGTCATCGGAGGGAACGTTTTGAACGTTTCCAACTTTAAAGACACCGGTATAAGGGAACTGGTTAATGTCAGCTACCCTGTTTGCAGAAATACACACTGCTATCAGCCTACTCAATCACGTGTGTTTTATGGGGACACTGTATGTGTGGTGCTGCATGTTTCACACTGCTGAGAAAAAGGTACACAGAGGCAGTCCCTGGAGAGTAGGAATGGAGATTGTTCAAAAGTTTGCGTGTCTGGGGACGCCTGGCTGGCTCAGTCGGTGGAGTATGTGACTCTTGATCTTGGGGTTATAAGTTTGAGCCCCACGTTGGGTGTAGAAATTACTTAAAAGAAAAAAAAAACTTAAAAAAAATTTGCTTGTCTGTATTTTAAGGTAATAAACACCATTTGCTTCTATAAGGAAGGAAGAAATGAGATGTGAGCAAGGCCAGCACCAGCGAAGGGGAAGACGGAGTGCTGAGCCCAACGAGCTCAAGCCCATGCAAGCCTGTCTCTGCAGAGGGGTACGCAGCAGCTCCTGGGCCCACGTGACTCAGCCTCACCCTGAGCCTGTCTGGTTACTGCTTGACCTACCATGGAGGCGGCCTACGGGAGAGGATATGCTGATCATAGGAGGTCCTCTTGATAATTTTATTTTTTCCCAGTATAAATTATTACATCAAGTGACCTCTAGGTTTATGAGAATATCTATGAATGCACATCTAGGTAACATATAAAATACCTTCAGAAACATGGCTCTCTCATCGGGTGTGAAGTCAGAGGCCAGAATATCCCAGAGCCAGATGATGACCCTGTGACTTCCATGAAAGCCACCGTAGTACACCGTGTGCTTCCTGAAAAAAATGCAGACAATGGGCTCAGCCACACATTCCAATGGGTGCTTACAGACACAGGCAGGGACGGAACTTAGCCAAGTGGCACAGCCAACTCTGGCAGGCCTGGGTGCCTCCTGACCTCTCTTAAAGGCAGAAGTTCACGCCTTCGTAACCCATGTCCCTGGAAGCTAAGGGGGTGGGGAGCTCAAGAGCGGGCCCTGAGACTCCCGAACAGGAGCTAACAGGAGATCCTGCACTGCCACTTCCCAGAACTCTGGAGAGCCCAGCAGTCCTTGACACCTGCTTAAACTCTACTTCCACTTCTTAGTCTCTAGGCAGACAAGTGGGGGATCTTTTATTTCAGAGCAATTCACCCAGTGATCAGGGAGGAGAACACTTGGAAGTGGGCTTCTGAAACAGGAGCCCAGCAAGGGGGCAGCTTGCTTTCCAGGAGGCTGAAGATTTCACCCCCCTCCCCACCTTCGCTCCTTACTTTAAATCTTCCAGATCAATCTCAGCATTGTCACCGGAGATGAGACGCTGTAGCTCAGGGGTTGAGAACATCCGGGTCCACTCGGGCTTGATAATGGAGCGGAATCCGCTAATGAGGGCAGCTGTCTGGTTTTTTATTTGGGTGTGCATCCGAAAATGTGCCATCAAATGGATGTAGCTAATCCTGTTGCCAACAGGAGAAAACAGTGGGAATTAGGAGGCCAGGCTGGGCTGTTACCAGTGGGCTGAAAGATGAGTCCAGCCATTTCTGGACCACTTAACAAAAACACCAGTGGTACCAGGGCGCTTCACCAGAATGATGGCGAGGATGACGACGATGACGACGATGGTAATGCTAACCTTCCTGAATGGCACGCTAGGTGCCACTGTGTATGTGTTCACTCCTCCCCCAAACCCAGATAAGGAGAGGGCCCTTTCTCAGTACAAAAAGTACAGCTTTTTGGGCTTTTATTTAATTTCATCCAATTAAGAGAGAATTCTGTCCTCCAGCAAGCTTTAAAACGGGAGAAAAAATGGCTTCATGAGGAAACCTCCATCAAAGCCTTGCTAATCTGGACCAAGACTCGAAGCCATGAAAAGTAAGCCTGCAGAAAGCTGTGACCAAATGCAGCTAGCTTACACTTAGGTTCAAAGGGGAAGTCAGAGCACTAACAACAGTTCCGAGCAGATGGTCTTCTGGGCCTGCTTTACTGAGCACAATGACCTCATCTACGACTGTAATACAACGCAAACCTTTCCAGCAGGTTAAATCCAGGCTTGCTAGCATGGCTGATTTCTTAGCAAAGAACCTGAGCCCAGCCCAGGTACAACTCCCCAAATCCCAAATTAGCACAGTCCAAATAAAAATTTTACCCCACAGTGCTCAGACCTGAGTTTCTGACCCTGAAAATATGCTTATTTAAAAAAATTATCCAGCAGCAGACTTGCACATTGAGATACTTAAATATGACTTTTTCCATTATCGATACCCCTTTCATACACGCTTTGAAGCAGGTTGCTGATATTGTCCCATTTTACCAAAAGAGGGAGGGGGACTTTGGAGGACTTTCCCATTTAACAGAAAGTACAAGACCCTAAGGAGGGCGGAATTGGCGTTTCCAGGCCTTTTAAGACCATCTGTCGAACCGAATCCCCTTGCCCTTATGCTGAGCTTTTTTGCTGAGAACGTGTAAGTTTATGAAGTGGCTTTCACACAGGTCCAGGCAGGATAGGAGTCTCACTCCAGCACAGGCTGCATCGGCCCGCTGCCTCTGGCTGTGACCCATGCCGCTCCCACCATCACCCCCGTGCCACGCCCAGCAAAACACGGCCGATCTGGGGGTGGCGGGCTCTATGGGACATGTCACACAGCTGACACTGGGGACGTTCACTGCTCTCCTTTACTGAGGCCCCCCCCTTTGAGCCAGATATCCTGCAAGGTATCTTACACGCATGAGCTCACAGAAGCCCTCTGAAGGGATGGTTATAGGCACACGGCAGGGAGCGACAGGACGCGTCCCTGCTGACAGCTCCCGGCAGCGCCTCCCCACCTGAGCTCCCGGCTCTCTTCTCAGTTGTCCAACTAATGCCCTGTGGCCAGGAGTCAAAACTGGTGTCTTTCAATCCCGAGGAGAATCAGGCCCGTTCTTCTGACCACACTGACAGTCTAAATCAAAGCTCCACAAGCATGCAGACTGCCCCAACCACCTGACCCGAGAGGGGCAGGATGCTCGGGCTGCAACGTGCATCTGAGCCAAATGACTCACCAGGTGGGACTGAGCTCTCACTTGTCACTGGGGGAGTGATGCTCAGATTAACAGTTCAGATGCTCAGCTGAGCCTGGCGGCAGAAGATTGATAGTTTGACAAAAGGGCCAATATCTACTCCTCATGCTAGGTTCTACTGTTTTAATTAGGTGAGAATAGTGCGGTGGAGATAGTGCATTAAGGAGTTTTGCTTCTAGGGACCAAAGAGGTTGACATTTATGATAGATTTCTAAAAGCCTGTTATCTGTGACAATAGCTGCCGGGCCTCCGAGTCCCCCCACGTCTAAGGACCTGTCTGTGGCATTTGAATTCATCACTGTGTCTTCTCAAGAACAGCATTTTATGCAACTGCCACATGCTATCATTCCAAAATGATCTGCCCCTCCAAGGTGTCCTTCCGCCTCCGTGCCCTCTGGGTTCAGGACTACGTGCCCAAGTGGCTCAGAACCCATTTGTCTGCATCTCGAGCCGTCATTAAATGCCTAGGAACACTGCGGCCTGGGTGCCTCTGCCCTTAGATGGGCTACTGCCAAAAATAAGTTGTCAATTCTTATTTTGCAAATCGAATTTAATACAGTTTTGGCCTATGAACTGTAACGAGTAAATTCCATTATGATATTTATGGCCTCTTTCTACTTCAATCTATCTTAATAAATTCTCAAAGTAAGACCGGAGAGCCAGAATGAAGTCTTTTCAAGTGCTGACCTTAAAAATCTAATTGCTATACTCACTTATTTTCATTCGTAACAGGAATGGTCTTCCCTCCAGGAATCAGTTCATGGCAAACAAGCTGGGGGAGAAGATGGGGAGCAATTACTTGAGAGAATTCTAACAGGGAAACAGGGCTTCCTGAAGATGAAAGGGCCCGATGCCAACGTCCATAATAATGACAGAATGAAGATGGGACGTGTTTGGGAATAATCATTTTCACAAGAAGCCAGGGCTTAAATATCAACAAGCAGACCCTGCACAATCAATATGGAAGGTTTCTTCTCATCCGAACCTCATGCAGACATTTGTACTAAGGCTTAAAGATATCACAGAGGGGACCATGTTTGCATTATGAGCATAGTTAAATAAATGTTGGTACAGCCGTACCCTGGAATGGTATGGTACCATTTCTGGAAAAAAAAAAAAAGTGATACAGGTGCCCCGGGAGAAAAGTCTGAAAACACATGACACATTAACAGTGGTGCTTTCCTGGCGCTGGTCCTGTAACTGGTTTTTTCACGTTCTGTGCTCATCTTATAGCAGAATCCGTGGTTACCAGTTTGCATCATTTTTATTGTCAAAAGAGAAAATTCTGAGGAAAGCTCAAAATCTGCTTAAAGATTTGAAGACCACAGAATCAAGTATTTTCCTCAACTTCAGGCATTTCTGGGGGTCACCTAAAAATCAAAGAATGCATACTTTTAAAGCTAATTTTAGCAGAAATTCTACTAATAGAATATCCTGGGTCTCTGATGATGAAGAAAGGAGCGATCGTGGCCTCTAGTCCCACCGTTGCCAACACCTTGGGGCAACGGGAGGACTCTGAAGCTGGAAGGGCCTTTGGCAAGCCCCCGGCCTGGTGTTTCCTGGAAAGGGCTCCAGGGAGCGCCTCGTCCGCGCGCTACTACTTGGAGAGCCTCGGAGAACCGCTCTGTGGGAAGGCGGAGGTTCCTCCCTCACAGGCTCCTCAGAGCGCTCACACACCTGTGTGCTCGGGGCTCCCTACAGGAGCTCATGGCGTCACGCTGCTCCCAGCCAGGACTCACACTCACGAGAGGTACTTTTGTGAGAGAAGAGAAGCGGGGCTTGGGGAGACGAGTGACCTTTCGGAGGCGATGCAGGCTCGGCTCCAAGAAGCCAGCTCTGCATGAGGAAGCTCTAGGTCCGGTTGCTCCCGCAGCCCTCAGAACACGGGCACATGGAGGCTCACACAGGTGTCTGCTAGGACAACACTGGAGGGCGCAGAGGGCACTTCGGGGGAAAGCCAAAAGGCAAACTCTGGCAGGAGACTTCTCTGCTGCCACAGTGTCCACTGTCCTTTCCTCCTGCTCCGCTCTCCATGATGAGCAAGAGCAAGGCCTGGATTCTGTTCGAGGCACTTCTCGGGCGGCTTCTTCCCCTCTGCAAGTCACACGCCTCCGTGTGTGACAGCTAATCCTCACCATGGCAACAAAAAGCAACGTTACAAATGGGGAATTAGAGCTTCCATCAGGAAGGACCCTAAGTGCGATCTAAGCAGAGCAGGGTCTTTGTGGGGAGCTCTCCGAGGGCCAAGCAGGCAAAGGCCAGGTCAACTGGGAATGGAAGGGGGAACGCCCCCCTGGCTGGCGAGGCGGGAGTAGGGGGATGGGCAAGGGAACCAGACACCAGAGGACAGCCAGCCTCGGTTTGTGAACCTTCTCCTGGGGAAAACACCAAGAGCAGGGCAGGTCCCAGGAAGCCAGTGGAGGGCGGCAAAGAATCGCTCAGCCATAGAGGCCGACCTACCTGACCCATGACGTCCTCGTCGTAGGACAGAGTCAGGCCCAGGTCAGAGATGTCCCCGTCGTAGCGCTAATGCAACAGAGAAAGGGCAAGTGTTGGGACCCAGGCGGGCCATATCCTTGAAAGCTTTAACACTCCCCCCCACCACACACATGATGCTGCATGGGCAGGACCACTATGACTGCCACCCAGCCTGAAGCAAAGGGAAAGGCCACTCATCACTGTGAGGAAGGAGGTAGGAGTGGCCAGAAGGGGACGTGGGGGCCCATAGTGGCTACAGAGCAGCCCTGGCCCCAGAGCAGGAAATCGCCTCCCACCACACGAGAACCCCGAGGCCTTCACTTCACTGAGTTTGCACCAGCCTGCAGAGATGCCCTTTGCCATGCCGCACTGACCTTAATGGAAGTGAGGTTTTTATAGAACTCTGAGTCCAGCGAAGGAAGCTCGTCCACAGAGCTGTAGAAGATACTGTGGTGGTGCCCGAGCAGCTGGCTCAGGAAGAAGGACGCGAAGGGCACGTCCACCACAATTCCCTGCGAGAGGAGAGACAGAAGTTTGCTGTCTGCCATGCAGGATCCCACCTCAGGGACCTTGTTGGGGTGGCTCAGGCCGCAGAGGGGCTCCGAGGGTGTCAAGGACATCTCGAGGTGCTTTGTAAACTTTTGAGGTGGAGACCAGCACCTCCCGCCACCTGCACACCATCCAGCGCCTCCGGGGGACATCACAGCGCAGCAGTTAAGGGCACAGGCTTTGGAGCTGCACAGCTCAGGGGTCCAGTCCCAGCCGCACTGCCGCCTGGCTGCGGGATGTCGGCTATCCCCCTCTGTAAATGGGGACCAGCAGAGCCTCCCAGTTTTCAGGTTTAAATGAGCAGGGTGGAGAGGAACGCAAAGCATCAGCTCTCACTTGGAGACAGGGCAGGGGAAGCCTCCAGGAGAGAGACCTATCTAGGCTAGACCTGAGGAGCACAAGGGCTCTCGTACGAGGCCCACAGGCACGCCCCAGGGGGGGAACACACAGCTCTCTGGCCACAGCACAGTGTTTGAAGGAGGAGAGGCGAGGGATCAGGGCCAGATCAGGGAAGGCTTCCTGAGCTTCCTGGAGTCTGAACTCTGTGGAGGGCAGCAGGGAGCCCCAGGGGGGGCTCTAGGCAGAGAAGTGTCAGGTTTGTACTTGGCGTGGGGAACGGACGGAGGAGGACAGGAGGCAGGGAGGGATGCAGCACGAAAACTGTTGCAGAACACTGGGGAGAACAGACAGATTGTTCTAGCTGGAGAGAAGTGTGCAGGTCAGAGAGATTCAGAAGGGACAGGGGCTCAGACTCGATGATGGCCCATCTCAGAGGACTGCGAGGGTTACGTGAGTTAATACACGCTGCTCCTCACACGGGGCCCAGCATGTCCTAATTTCTCTCTGCGCTGTTACTGCTAGAGAAGGAGGAGACAGGCGCTGGGTCCAGGGAACGGGGGAGCACATTCACAGAAGCCACGAAGTCATGCTTCTCGGCTGGCCCAATTCTTCTGGGCATATCACAGCTACATGTTTGAGAGAGAAATGTGGCACGTAGCCAGGTACATCCTCATGGGATTTCTTTTTTTTTT